CAATATATCGCGGGCTCAGCTTCCTCACTCCAAGTGCCCGTCCAACGCCGGTGACAGGTGAAAGTCTCACAAACACGTGCTCACCCTCACTGAACTCCAGTGGACATTTCTTGATATCATAGTAGCTCTTCTAGCGATTTTGCGTCCGCTTCAACTTTTCTTTGATCATCTGGATCTGCTGGGTGGTATCTTGGACAAAGTCCAAGCCAAAAAGCTCCTTGTCTCCAACCTCAGACCAACAGGTAGGAGTCTGACACCTCATACTATACAGTGCTTCGTAGGGCACCATGCCCAGGCTAGCATGAAAGCTGTTGTTGTACGAAAATTCAACCAACGGAAGGTACCTATCCCATGCCGAGCCCTGCTCCAACGTATAAGCCCGAAACATGTCCTCCAAGGTCTGGATGGTCCTCTCAGTCTGTCCATCAGTCTGAAGGTGATAGGCGGTACTCAATCTCAACTGCGTACCAAAAGCCTCCTGCAGCGCCTCCCAGAACCGAGATGTGAACTTCGGGTCCCTATCACTGATGATACTCTCGGGCACCCCGTGAAGCCTCACGATCTCGCGAATATAAAGCTTGGCCAACTGCTCTGTAGTGAAGCTCACCTTCACTGGAAAAAATGGGCAGACTTCGTCAGTCTGTCCACAATGACCCAAATAGAGTCACAACCCGCCTGAGTCTTAGGCAATCCCACCATAAAGTCCGTGGAAATACTTTCCCACTTCCACTGTGGTACTTCAAGAGGTTGAAGCTCACCGGACGGTTTCTGATGTTCGATCTTCACCTTCTGGCAAACCAAACACTTAGACACAAAAACAACAACATCTTTCTTCATGCCCGGCCACCAGAAGTTCTTCTTCAGGTCTTGATACATTTTAGTAGCACCAGGGTGGATAGAAAACTGGCCCTTATGGGTCTCTGCCATAACCTCTTCGGTCAACGGACCTCGAGGAACCACGATCCTTTGCTGAAACAAAAGAAGTTCATCCTCATTCCAAGACACACCGTCTTGGTTCTTCACATAATCCAGGCACTCTCTCTGAACTTGTGCCTCTTTGATATTTTCTAACAGCTCATTAACAACATCTGCTGCTTCTATCTCGAGAAGTGCACCCTCACACGGAGAGGTCACTGCCAGGTTTCAGAACTTCTCAACCACATCAAAATTATCGAGTAACAAACTGGATGAGCTCCCGGGTTTCTGGCTCAAAGCATCAGCTACCACATTGACCTTGCCAGGATGGTACTTCAACTCGAAGTCGTAATCATTTAGGAACTCCATCCATCTCCTATGCTTCATATTCAACTCTTTCTGGTCGAAAAGATACTTTAAACTCTTGTGGTCACTGAACACCACGAACTTCAACCAAAAAGTTAATGCATCCAAATCTTGAAAGCAAACACAATAGCAGCCAACTCCAAATCATGAGTAGGGTAGTTCTCCTCATGAGGCTTCAGCTGCCTCGAAGCATAGGCAATCACCTTGCCCAACTGCATCAACATACAACCTAGCCCCTTTCCGGAGGCGTCGGTGTAAAGCTCAATCTCAAGTGCAGGATCAGGAAGGACCAACACAGGAGCAGTAGTCAGTCTCTCCTTCAACTCCTGAAAACATTCCTCACACTCGTGAGTTCACACAAATGGAGTCTCCTTCCGGGTAAGACGAGTCAAAGGGAGAACCATCGTGGAGAAACCCTTGATGAACCTTCGATAGTAACCTGCCAAACCCAGAAAGCTCCTCACTTCCGTCACTGTCTTGGGCCTTTCCCAATCCAGCACAGCCTAGATCTTGTTCGGATCCACTGCAACCCCATCAGCTGAAATCACATGCCCCAAAAAATTGACTGATTTGAGCCAAAACTCACACTTGGGAAGGCTTAGCATAAAGCTTTTTCTCTTTCAGCACTTGCAGAACAATCCTCAGATGCTCTGCATGCTCCTCCTCAGTCTTGGAGTAAATCAGAATGTCGTCAATGAAGACAATCACAAAATGATCCAGATACTGCTAGAAAATCCTGTTCATGTAATCCATGAACACAGTAGGTGCATTGGTGAGTCCAAACAGAATCACCAAATACTCAAAATGACCGTATCTCGAACGAAATGCAGTCTTAGGGACATCCTCCGGCTTCACCCAAATCTGATGGTATCCGGACCAGAGATCAATCTTTGAATACACGCAAGCACCCCTGAGCTGATCCAACAAATCATCAATACGCGGAAGGGGATACTCGTTCTTGATTGTCACCTTGTTCAGCTGCCTGTAGTCGGTGCACAATCGCATTGTCCCGTCCTTCTTCTTCACAAAGATGACCGGTGCTCCCCAAGGAGACACACTCGATCGAATGAATTTTTCGTAGAAAGATCCTCAATGTGCTTCTTCAGCTCTGCCAACTCCGGTGGTGACATCCGGTATGGAGCTAGAGAAATAGGCCCCACACCAAGCAACAAATCAATGGAGAACTCTATCTCCCTCTGTGGCGGAAACTCAGGAATCTCCTCAGGAAACACCTCGAGGAATTCCCTCACCACAGGAATGCCAGCGATATCCTCCTGTGTCCCACTCACCAAACCTCCCAACATGACATAACCAAATGCCCCAGCTCTCAAGGCTCTCCTAGCCTGCATCAAGGAAATGTACGGCGAGGAACTGGCTGTGGAATCACACGGAGACATCACCACACGCTTGGCACAACAGTCAATCATCACACAATTCCTGGACAACCAATCCATGCCCAGAATAACCTCCAAGTTGGCCATCGACATGAAATGCTACGTCGCGATGAACAGTGGTAGCATCACACTTTTCTCTGGTGGCGGTAGTCACCCGCAACGGTGGAGAAAGCACAGACATGGGCAACTCAAGCCCCACAGCAATCGGGGTTGCAACAAAAGAATTCGTAGCCCCAAAGTCAAACAAGACATCAACAGATGAAGCACCAATAGTAACAGTACCTCTGACTAGGTTCGGAGCTCGATCCGACTGCTGACGATCCAGGGTATAAACACGCCCAGAAGACGGTGGCACTCCTGGTGCCGAAGTAGGTGGAAAGGGGATTCATCTGAAGTGGCACTGCTTGCACTGCAGTAGCTCTTGCCATCGACGACGGACAATCTCTAGAGAAGTGGCCCTCCTTGCCACACTGGAAACAAATCAACTGGCCGTAGAACACGGCCCAAAATGAGTCTTCTCGCATCCCGAACACTTGGGAGCAGGAGGTCTCGCTGCACTCCCCTGAGCAAAAGTTCTCTTAAACTGATTTGGCGCTTGTCGAGCCGCCATCTGTTTTCCCTTGCCCTTGTTCCCAAACTTCTTGTCCCTCCAAGAAGTGGAACCACCAGCTACCTTCGTCGTCTCAGCAACCTTGGCCCTCTTGGCCTTACTCGAGTTGTAGAAGTCCTCGATATCCCGACACTGCTGAACTAGTGTCCCAAAATCTCTCGAAGCAGACCCAGCTAGGTAACCAGCAATATCCTCACTAAGTCCCCTGCGGAACTTAGTAGCCAAGAACGTCGGAGTAGGCCTCTCCATCCGGAAGTGTGCAAACTTCACCAGCTGATTGAACTTGGCCAGGTACTCGTCAACAGACAACGAGCCCTGAACCAACCTGTCGAATTCCCCTTGCTTCTTCTCCTGAGCATCGTAAGGGAAATACTGACCCAAAAAGCAATCCTCGAAGAATGGCCACGTCATCACATGGCCCTGCATCTCGTAGACATGAGAAGTGTTCGTCCACCACTCATGGGCATTGCCCTCCAGCATGTAGGTAGCGAACATCAGCTTCTACGGATCCGTACACTGCATGACCCGAAATATCTTGTCCAGCGCCTGTAGCCATCGCGCCGCAGCAACAGGATTAAAAGATCCATCAAAGGTAGGTGGCTTATGCTTACGGAAAGCATTCAGCCGGCGATCGATCTCATCTCGATCCTCAACAAGCACAGGGACGGTCTGCATGACCCCCGTAAAGTGACTGCCATCACCCAACTGACTCTGACTGTCGTTCTGCAGACTGGGTGGAGGTGGAGGTGGTGGCGGAGGAAAATGGCCAATAGCAGGACCAATCCCCAACTCCTCTAACATGACTCTCATCATCGTCATGTTCGCCAGACGGTTGGCCTCCAACACATCCTCAGTGGCCTTCCTGTTCGCCTCTCTGACAGCGTCTAGCATGGCCTGGTTTGCCATTCTGCGCAGCTAGTTACGTGGCCAACCAGGCGTTGCGACGTGGCCAATCCTAACTCGCCACGTGGCATAGTGAGATTGATGACGTGGCACTTTGGTAAATTTTTTCTAAAACGTGGCATTCTGATAATATTTTAGATAAATAATGACAATCTGGTGTTGTCCTCCTCTTCAATAGAACTGCCAAATATAATTCAGTTGGAATTTATGAAATGGAAATCAAATAAATTACTGGGAGTAAGTATCATTAGTGTAAACAGTAGATGTAGTGATTAGTAATGAAGGTGTGTCCCGTTAAGTATCAAGTACCGACAATTCAAAATCCTTATATATCTTGTCCGACATTGTGATATTGTTTAACACTTCAATACTCGTTGCAAAGACTTAAAAAAAAATTCAAATGTTACGTTGCATTATTTTTTGAGTTTCAATTATTAGATTTATTGAATTGAGATTATCATTCTATTGAGTTAGTTTAATATAAATATTTAAAATATTTTATGTTTCTTTGTAAAATTGATGGATATTATATTATAAGTTTAGCTTTATTTTTTTATTAAATTATTAATATTAAATATAATATACATTATATAAATTAAAAACATTATTTAATATTAAAATGTTTAATATATCAAAATTTAATTCTTTTTAAAATTAATGTGGCGGGTATGGTTGCAACATAGCACGTTAATACAAAAGTTACTGAATACATTAAAGTGCAATATGTCTCAACGCTCTTTTTCAAAAATATTTCCAAAACTACACTAACAGTTCTAAAATTTCAAACCAAATCTACCTCTAAGAAAAATTCCTCTCTAGCTTCCAGTGTTCTTCTTCTGCTCTAGGCTTGAACACTATCAGAATGCTTAACTAACTAACACCTAAACCAAAACTACACTAACACTTTCATTTCAATTCCTCCAAATCTCTAATCACTAACCTAACCCCATTCCCAAATCACAATTATTGGATCAATCATTGAAACATGGATATCTTATTCGCTCAGATCCAAGCGGACCTCCGTTCCAACGACGCCCTCCGCCAATCGGGGGCCCTCCTCCAGGCCCTGCAGCAGTCTGCGGCGGGCCGCGACATCGCCGTCATCGCGAAATCAGCCGTGGAAGAGATCGTGGCGGCGCCGGCCTCCGCCGTGTGCAAGAAACTCGCCTTCGACGTTATCCGCTCAACGCGGCTGACCCCTGACTTATGGGACACCGTCTGCAGCGGCATCCGCAACGACTTCCACTTCCCCGACCCGGACGTAACCGCAGCCGCCGTGTCGATCCTCGCAGCCATCCCGTCGTACCGCCTGGCGAAGCTGATCGCCGACTGCAACAAGGAAATCTCCGACTGCTTCGACTCCCCAAGCGACAACCTAAGATTCTCCATAACGGAAACCCTCGGCTGTGTCCTCGCACGTGACGACCTCGTCACGCTGTGCGAGAACAATGTCAACCTCCTTGACAGGGTCTCCGCCTGGTGGGCCCGCATTGGCGCCAACATGCTTGACCGATCCGATGCCGTTTCGAAGGTTGCTTTCGACTCCGTCGGGCGGCTCTTCCAGGAGTTCAGCTCGAAGCGGATGAGCAAGCTTGCTGGCGATAAGCTCGTCGACAGCGAGAATTCGCTGGCGATCCGCTCCAATTGGGTCTCCTCCATGGTGGATTTCGTTTGGAAGAAGCGCAGTGCCCTGATGGCGCGGTCGTTGATCTTGCCGGTGGAGAATTTTAGGGCAACTGTGTTTCCGGTGGTGTACTCAGTGAAGGCGGTGGCTTCCGGCAGCGTTGAGGTTATTCGGAAGCTGTCCAAGTCTTCTGCTGGTGGTGGTGGTGGTGGCAGCAGTGGGAGTGGTGTTGAGGTTGATTCCAATGCTGAGAAGTTGGTGGGTGTTTCTGATGTGGTTACCCACTTGGCACCCTTCTTGGTTTCGTCTTTGGAACCGGCTTTGATTTATGAAGTGGGGATTAATATGCTTTATCTTGCTGATGTGCCTGGAGGGAAGCCTGAATGGGCATCGCAATCCATCATAGCCATTCTCACACTGTGGGATAGGCAAGAATTTGCTTCTGCTAGAGAAAGTATTGTTAGGGCTGTTGTTACCAATCTTCATCTCCTTGATCTTCACATGCAGGTGATGCCCCTAGTCCGATTTGCATCCATGAATTGGATAATACTCTAATTGTTTTAACCTGTAGTCTATGCTTATCCTAATAAGTAAAGTGGTACTTTGACCTGTGAATATAATTAATAACATCAGAATTACACTTGTCTATGCGAAATATCTTTCATGCTTATGAATGAAGCCTTGGAATTTCTAGACTTTTCTGGTTACTGATCTTTATCTTATTTTTTGGATAAACCACAGGTATGTATTGTCCTGGAATATTGTGTTTAAGATGTGTTCTGTTCTGTATGTTTTCTGATACTGGATTGTATAAATATGGCGATAGATGTTTGGCTAGACGAATTCGCATGTACTTGATATAGCAATGCTTATCTATAAATGGCTGCCTGTAGGTATCACTGTTCAAGAGGCTGCTTTTAATGGTGAGAAACCTGAGAGCTGAATCAGATCGCATGCATGCTTTAGCCTGTATATGTAGAACAGCTCTTTGTGTTGACCTATTTGCCAAGGAAAGTGTCCGAAGAGGGCAGAAACCTCTTGCCGGAACTGATATTGCTTCCCTTTTTGAGGATGCCAGAGTGAATGATGATCTTAATAGCGTTACAAGTAAAAGCATATTTAGGGAGGAGTTAGTTGCATCCCTAGTGGAAAGTTGCTTTCAGCTGTCTCTGCCTTTGTCTGAACAAAAAAACTCGGGCATGGAGAGCAGGGTCATTGGAGCTTTGGCATATGGAACTGGTTATGGTGCATTGAATTGGACCGAACCTGCTTTGGAAGTGGTGGAAGTTTGTCGGCCTTGCGTTAAATGGGATTGTGATGGTCGCACCTATGCAATTGACTGCTACTTGAAGTTGCTTGTTAGGCTATGTTACATATATGATACAAGGGGTGGTGTAAAAAGAGTCAAAGACGGAGCTTCTCAGGATCAAATTTTGAATGAGACCAGATTGCAAAACTTGCAACGCGAACTTGTGAAGGATTTACGAGAGGTACATAAACTTTTATACCTGAAATTCAGCACTGCTGTCATTAAAGTTTTCGTATTCTGATAATTGTAAGTATATACCATTTGGACAGTGATTATCATAACTACTGCAATATTTTTTAAGGGTAAATTAGAAGATAAATCTTTTAACTGCGTGTAATTTACTCCTCAAGATTTTCATTGTAGCTGCTTAACCCTCAGTTAAGATACCGTCATAATGCCCTTAAAATTCATAATGAAATTTGGCAGTTGAGTAGGGTGAATTCGGCCAACTAAATAGTTGATGAGATTATATTTTTAATGAATTGTAAGAGAGTGATGAAAAATGTTTTAATTCACACATTAAGACAGGCTGTGGAATGTGGGTTAAATTGCACATGAGATGAAATGCAGTAGAAGGATCTGTCTCTCTCTTTCTTTTTGGAACTTACTCGTGTATAATTGTTAAAAATGCATTCTATTATGTTTGTGTATAACATCATAGTTCCTATTATACAGAAGTTTGCTTTCCTTGACATCAAATATAATACAATGAGAAATGAATCTCTATAAATTTGGCTTCTCACAACACAAGCATGCTTTGCTAGTGTTTCATGTATTAAAATGTTAACTTCTTGTTATATGTTGTATCAACTGATAGGATGATTTTCTTCATACTGCTGATTTTTTTTACAAGTAGGTGGCGAAATTTTTTTCTCCAGTAGCTAGCTGCCACATCTTTCTGTATTTTGAGTTTAAGTAGTCTGTTGTAATTATATAAGATCCGGTGATACTGGTCTATATCACACTAAATATTGGGTGTTTAAACAAGTTTATAAAATTGCTACCCAAATCATGAATTGCCAAGTTAATTTTTTAATCGTATCGAATAATAAGATTCAGAGACGCAATATAAAATAGCTCAAAATATGTATCGTATAATTGATATATAATCTCAATTTAATAATTTTATTGTAGGAATTGACAAAACAACATAACTATAAGCCTCACGAAACAAAATTAGAACTTGATATCATTAAGTAATAACATTATTGATGTTGCGAACTCTGGAGTAGTGGAGTAACTCATAAAAATTTGGTGAGTTCTCTTTATGAAGCTAGTAATGGCTTCTTGCAACTAAAGATTGTTGTAGTATATATTGTCACTGTCATGAGTCAGTTACTCTGTTCCATGGTATAGTAAATTATTTTTTACCTTGTTTGAAGATATATGTCCTCCAGGACCCTTTTTTATCGAATCCCTGGGACATGTTTGGAACAGCAAGGTGTTTTACTTGAGCAAAATTTATCTATTCTGTGACTATATTTGATATACTGAGATTTTTTTTCTTTTGGTTAGAACAGAATGAATTTTTTTACTTAGATGGTGAAATTTAAAGTAAGATTCCTGTTGATGAAATGTTTATTTCTAGCCCGTTAAACATTTATTCTTTGCACCCTTTTATTTTATTTTGTCATCATTATATATCAATTCCTTTGTTTGACTCATATATAACCACAAATGGGTGGAGTTTTCTCACACTTTAATCTTGCATTTTGATGTTTGTGAACATTACAGGTTACTACACCGAGAATTTCGGCCCGCCTTATTTGGGTTATTTCAGAGCACATAGATATCGAAGGATTGGATCCACTCCTAGCAGACGACCCGGATGATCCTCTTAATGCCATTGTATCAAATATTCGCAAGGTTCTATTCAATGTTGATTCAAATGCAGAAACAACAAATAGAGTTCAAGATGTACAGGCAGTTCTCATCTCTGCTCAACGACTGGGATCACGCCACCCTAGGGCTGGCCAGTTACTTACCAAAGAGCTTGAGGAGTTTAGGAACAATAGTTTGGCTGATTCTGTCAGCAAGCATCAATGCCGTTTGATATTGCAAAGAATCAAATATGCTTCAGGTCATCAAGAGAGTAGGTGCGGATATTGTGCAAATTATTCATAACATTTCATATTGTAAATCTAGTTATTCACTCTGTCACTCATTCATGTGTTTCTACAATTCATGCTTTCTCTTTCCTTTTGAGTGATCCATTAATCAAAACTCTAGTTTGTTATGATCATGAAATTTTATTTCTGTAATGGTGTTGGTTTTGGAAAAGCTTCTAGACAATTTCTCCCTTGCTCAGAATATATTGGTGCTTAATGGTCATTTCTAATGTTTCACAATGTTCTATGGTCTTTATTAAACCATAAATTTGATTCATTACATGATAACTTAGTGTAATTATGTATCTTATTATTATTATTATTTTCTCCAGGTGGGCTGGTGTTACAGCAGCCAGAGGGGATTACCCATTTAGCCACCATAAATTAACTGTTCAGTTTTATGAAGCATCTGCTGCTCAGGATAGAAAGTTGGAAGGATTGGTTCACAAGGCTATTTTAGAGCTATGGAGACCTGACCCCAGTGAACTAACCCTTTTGCTGACAAAAGGGGTTGATTCTACTTTACTAAAGGTTCCTCCAACTGCAATTACTTTGACTGGAAGTAGTGATCCCTGCTATGTTGAAGGTTATCATTTAGCAGATTCAAGTGATGGGAGGATCACTCTGCATTTAAAGGTCAAAGCCTCCTCATTTTATTTCTTTCTTACTCAATTATTTAGAGTTCGCATACAGCATTTTCAAACGTTTAAGCAGGGTATTTGCATTACTATGTTGTAGTGGTCATATTATTTCCCTGTGAAACATTAGCAGGGGGTTGACTGTGTAACTTGACATGAAGCATGATAGATTAATTTTTACTTAAAAATGTGGTGGACAATGATATCTATTGTTTTAAGATCGACATAATGAGGCACGTTGTTTTCTATATTGGAAGAATGGGGCACATTTAATTTGATGTACTGTTGTTTCTATAATTACAACATTGTTATCTTGTGAAAGCTAATGTTCCAATGTATTGGTAAGGAATTTGCATTAGTGTGTGAATAGTATTCTAGTCAAAAGGAGATTCCAATATATATATATATATATAGAAATGATGTTAATTATCGTATTTTGGCATGCAATAGCTTCCTAAATGTGGGATCAAGGTTTCCTAAAAGAAATACTGGTGTTAATTATCAATGCCTTAGATATTTTTCTATAATAAATTGAAGATATTAAAATGCATTGCTAGAATTGCTCAATAGTTTCGTCTTTGAAGTTTAAATCACATGGATAAAGGATATTATTTGTTTTTGGCACAAATTTTTATCAAACAGCTATGCACCATCATTCAGTGTTTCTCATTTTCTGCAAATGGAAATTCCTCAGGTCTTAAACTTAACTGAGCTGGAACTAAATCGGGTGGATGTACGTGTGGGATTATCCGGTGCATTGTATTATATGGATGGTTCTTCTCAAGCAGTGCGACAGTTGCGTAATCTTGTTTCACAGGTTGCTTCTCCTGCTCTAAAGTGCATATTTCATTCCAGTTTGAAATGCCTATTTTGCTTTTGCATCTTCTTGGCTATTCTTCAACCTTTTTGTTTTCTATGTCTAGAAAGTATAGATGGGTATATCTGTATATCTAGTTACTAGTATCATGCTTGGATTGGATATAGGCAGAGGTGTCAAATGGGAAGGCCCGATGAGCTGGGGACTAGTTTGACTCTTTTAAATAAACTAAGCCCAGACCGCAAAATTTGGCCATCCACATTGGCCTGGCCAATTTTTCGGCCCAATGAAAATGTGGCCTGGCCCAAAGTTTTTTCCAGGCTAAAAACGGGCTGGGCCAATGGACTTTTGTCACCTCTAGAATAGATTTTTTTTAGTTGGATTCACCCAAAATTGACCACCAACTAATTTCATGTTAGAAAAGGTTATCTGCAGCTGATTATTATATAAGATAAAAAGAACGAAAATGACATTAATTTTTTATGAGGGAATTTGTTTGGGTTGGGACATATTGCTGATTGGAGAAAAAAGCATGACATCGATGTAGACAAAAGGATGTGATAAAGAACAAGAAAGCAACATGGCGGAAAAGAAAACCTAGGGAAATGAAAATCTCTGTTGTCTTGGAAATTTTTATAGAAGAATTTATTTTAGTAGTTTGTGTTTTGTAAATCTAATCATTGAGATTTCCCACTTTTGTTTCATGTGTCACAAACCAACTCTGCCAGAAGTTTAAGTTGATGGGTGAAGATACAAATTATTTTCATATTATATTTCTAACACGTCCCTCTCACAAAAGCTCTTTTGGGAGATTGAAATGTGGGTAATTCACACTCCATGGTGAAAGCTTCATCGCCTGCAATTTTGTGCTGAAATTCAACATTTTTTTTATTAGAAGAATAGAGGCGGTAATGATTGAATTCTAGACCACTTGCTCATATAGGTCTGGTACTATGTCACAAATCGATTTTCCAAAAAACATAAGTGGTTAGGTGAAAGCATATGAATGGTTTTTATATTATATTTCTAACAGCATTCCTGAAATGTTACCAGCTTAACAAAAAAGTTATGATAGCATATGAGAGGGAGGGAAAGGGGGGTTTTGCGTTCATTGGAAAACATGTCCTTAGATTTCGGGAGAAACAAAAAATGAGGATATGGGGCTTTTTCTGGTTCTAAAGAAAGCAGGAAGAGGTTATAATCCCCTAAATAACATGGCACACAATAACGTGAACCAAGAATCAAGATCTAATAACAGAGGAAATTTTATCAGCTGACGGAGAAAATACAGGAAAATTTTATTGATAAGGAAAATAGAGTGAATACGGCAACTCATGTCCAAGATTTCTAGAGCGTCTCTCTCTACAACTCAATTCTAGTCTTACCTTGCCTCCCTCTCTGCCCGCTGTATCCTTTTATCCTACTGCTAACCTAGAGGAATATCGTCCAAATTGAAATCCTAACTGGTATTTCTAATAATAATATCCCTTAAAATCATGTAACTCTATCTACTATATCTAACCTTATCAATTAATAACGAGTTACCCTATATACTATATCTAAAAATGTTAATTAATATCATGTAATAATTTCATGTAACTCTAATTACTATTACTAAAAGGCCTCGCCTACCCATCTAGATCGTTGGGCGCATCTTTAATGCTTCTAACCTACTTTTCTAAATAGGTGTTTCGTAACATATTATTACCGGATACTTTGGGTTTTGGAACTTTGGACATTATGTACATTGTGCTGAATTAAATTAAATTTATGCTAATTGTTCATTTTTAACAGTTGTACTTGACAAGGTTTCATTGTCTCTTTACACCATAGTTTTTTACTGTTCTTCCATCTGCAATAGTTTCATGATCCATGTTTGTGATGTTGTTCCGTAACCAGGATCCAGTGCTGTGCAGTGTGACAGTTGGTGTTTCCCACTTTGAAAGATGTGCTCTTTGGGTTCAAGTGTTGTATTACCCTTTCTATGGTAGTGGTGCTGTCGGAGACTATGAAGGTGACTATGCTGAAGAGGATCCTCAAATCATGAGACAGAAGAGAAGCTTAAGGCCTGAATTAGGTGAACCTGTGATTTTAAGATGTCAACCTTATAAAATCCCATTGACTGAGCTTCTTTTGCCACACCAAATATCACCCGTTGAGTTTTTCCGACTGTGGCCCAGTTTGCCGGCTGTTCTAGAATACACTGGTACATATACATACGAAGGAAGTGGCTTTAAGGCTACTGCAGCCCAGCAGTACGGCACTTCTCCTTTCTTAAGTGGACTGAAATCCTTGTCTTCCAAGCCATTCCACAAAGTTTGTTCACATGTTATCCGCACGGTGGCAGGGTTTCAGGTGTGGATCTGTTATCCTTTTTTTTTCTTTAGTTTGTTTGAAGTGGTTAAAGGATCTTTGTTATGTTCCACTCCTGGAATCACCTTCAATATCATCTGAACCCCTTAAAATTCAATCTCTGTCCGATGTATGCTTTTACTTATATGTTTCTACTTTGATGGAAACAATAAATATGTACCTAAAGCAAGAAAACTTGGCTAACATAAAATTGGATAATAAGCTAGGGCTAGAGTAGGGATTATATGCAGAACTATTAGGCATTGCATCTTATTAATTTACTAACCCTTTTCCTCCCCCCTTTGCTGGAATAGTTGTGTTATGCTGCTAAAACTTTGCATGGTGGCTTCTTGGGCTTGATGATTTTTGGTGCCAGTGAAGTGAGTAGAAATGTGGACTTGGGTGATGAGACGACAACCATGATGTGCAAGTTTGTAGTACGAGCATCTGATGCATCTATTACTAAGGAGATTGGATCAGACCTTCAGGGATGGTTGGATGACCTTACTGATGGTGGCGTGGAGTATATGCCTGAAGATGAAGTGAAAGCAGCTGCTGCTGAGAGGCTTCGGATATCAATGGAAAGAATAGCATTGTTGAAGGCAGCTCAACCACGACCTAAGACTCCAAAATCAGATGATGAAGATGAAGAAGAGGAGGATAACAAAGACAAAAATAAAGAAAATAAGGATGGCGATGAAGATGAGAAAAGGAAGGGACCTTCAACACTATCAAAATTAACTGCTGAGGAGGCTGAACATCAAGCTCTTCAAGCAGCAGTGCTACAGGAGTGGCATATGCTCTGTAAGGATAGAAGCACTGAAGTTAACTAACTTTTACCCTTCATTTTTTTTTTTTTTTTATTTTCTTCTGGGCTTTCCGAGAAACGAATGAATATATTCTTTGTACTCGTCTGTTCTTACTTTACATATACCAATTAGGTAGAAACCGAAATTTGCCAGAGAAACGTTTGAGTGTGTTCTTCTTATTCCCTTTCTCACTTTTTCTGGAAAGTGCTTTGTACATGTACCGGCTATTGATCTATATTTTGAGCAATCGTTGGAAATGTCTTGTCATTTTTTAGGTTAAATGTACTCACCTGAAGCTTAGTTTGTATTCAGATTCATTTCTTATGTTTCAGTTTCTTCAATGTTTTCTCCTCGCCTAACCCTGTGATAGTTACTACTTACTGGTGAATCTTTTCCACGTGATACGCCACACATCTAGACTCACTATTAAATTTATGCTTGTTTTTCCATTAGTGGGGTAAAAGCATATATGGTATGTGGCAATTGGAGATGAAGCATACATTGAGCTACTACAATTGCTAAGCGAAAAATGGTCTGAAAGGTAACTGCAGGGATTAATTTAGGCTGTGGGTTAATCACTTATCAAAGAGGTGTGATTGGTAAAAAGTGGGGGTAGTTGATGATGAAAGTCTCTGGTTGTTGATCCTGCTTATTTGTCTAGAAGGGTTTAATGTGTATGTCTTATCACCATTCCATGACTAAAATATTGATAGGAGAATGTAGCTAAATTCACTCTTTTGTTTTTGTCATAGGTTTTCTTCTTCATGTCAACTTTGGCCGCAATGAAAATATGCTTGGTTTTTTATCCTCGTAGTATGCAACATCTACTTAGTAATAATAATATCGTGTCTTGTGCATCTTCTTAGATCAAACTTGGTTAGGAAATGGGAAATCAAAAGACCTATTTCTTTAATCTCTGTATGATAATAGTTATTCTATGGGGTTACTTTTCTCATTTTGCCGGAAGAAGGAAAAAATTTCATGCAGACTCAATCACAAGTGGGACCTACTAGGAGCGAGAAGAAATAAAAAGGTTGTAGCACGTTTCTATTAGCAGGAACCATTTGTTTTGTTGTGCAACATTATTCTTATATTTTTCTTATTTTATTATGGATTATTTTTTTCTCTTGTTAGAAGAGAAAAGTTCTTTCTCGTGCTCATACAACATAAGGTGTGAGGTCCATTGAAAAGGGGAATAAAAAAAATGGAATTTACGCCTTATGTTGTGTGTTCAGGAGAGAGAATTTTTATTCTGTAACAGTACAAGAATATAACTCTTCTATTATTTAACATATTAGAATAAAAATAAAAATAAAAATAAATAAATAGCTAGAAAACAATTACAACTCTCTCCTGCTTTTTTTTTTTTTTTAATTTAATTGTTTTAGGATAACAAGTTAGTCAACAATCTTTTATTTTTATTTTTTTCTCGTCCCAATCACTATTTCTCAGCTAATAATTAGGGTTCATAATAAAAGTAAATCAATCCATTCTTGGGAAAAGCTTTTGCCGCGTCAAGCACTAATATATTTTTCGCAAATATACAATTAAATAGGGTAATCCTTCAAATCCAAGATGAAAACTCGTTGCTTTTTTATTTTCCTAGAATATTTAATTTTTTTTGCCTAACTCTTCTTTCGGTGATCAATGCAATCTTTGATAAAGGGGTATATCTTAATTCTATTTTATATGTTGAACAAGTTTAGGGATGAGCATGACGACCGGAGAGAAAAATTTATGACTATTTTTTCAAGAAATTTCAAATTAATAATTTGAATGAAAACATTCAATTTCTTATTTTATTATGTTCAATTATACGTATCCATTAATCTTAGAATACATTAAATGTAATAAAATATCTATAACAGAATTTATATTAGGGGAAGGTTATACTTACAACCTATTTTCGATTACATCATCTTACAACCAATATCTTAACCGTTGATTTTCGTCAATCAACGGTCAAGATTTTCGCAAATAAAATTTATTAATTAATTATTAATTCGCAATAAATGATAATTGTTGATTGACGGAAATCAACGGTTAAGATATGGTTGTAAGAGGTTGTAAACGAAAATAGGTTGTAAGTATAACCTCCCCCTATATATTATCTATATTAATAGCAACGCTAGTAGAAATGCTTTTATGCGGCGTTAATAATTTACCTTCGTACATAACTTTCATATTCTCTCAGCATTTGTCATATGTTATTAGTTGTAACCTATAAAGAACTGACACTTCAAAAACACTAATGTATCGTGTTCGACACTTCTCGACATACACACACACACACACACACACAAATATATATATATATATATATATATATATATATATATATATATATATATATATATATATATATCAATGCATTAAACTACTAAATTGCAATTACATACACCAACAATAACCACTACCCCATCAGGGTTTGATGGAATAATAAAGGAATAAATCTCAAGGTTCGAATGCTTATCTCAATTGCTTCCAACCCAATCTTTGCTCACCAACAAGTTTTCAAACAACCAAACTTTATATTCAAGCTACAATCTTACCACATAAACACCTACGCAAAGGTTCCATGAAATCAATCAATTGCATACATGAATATATCAATATTCATCAACAACCAAAGCAATCCAACACCACATTCAATTGCTTCATTAAGTTTCATCAGTTGTCCATTATTGACCAAAAGAAGACAATGAACATTTTCCAGTTTAGCTGATGGGTTGAAAAGGCGCACTTGTTTGATAATATTTTCATAAGTACCAACAGCTTCCTCCTCAAATAGCTGTTGATATTTTGCGACATCCCCTGCTAAAGTCTCTTTCTCTTCCTTAAGGGAGATGACAGTCTTCTCCAGCTCCTTGATCTGATTTGAGAGGCCAGACTTTTGCGTCTTCAATGAGGCGTAGTTCACTTTTAACTCACCAAGATCTTTCACCACGCTTATCCTCCCCTCCTCCACTTCTCTTTTAACTTTGTCAAGCATTTTCATAGCATCGTCCTTCTCTGTGACAACTTTTTTCAGTGCAGCAATTGGAGATTTCAGGTAGGACACAGTACCTGTCAAAAAGAACTTGGTAATGCAACTCTTTAGCAAAAGAAGTACAACACACATTAAGAGTACAACACAATACCTGTTAAGGATGTCAGTTGTTGTTGCTTGATGTCCAACTTTTTCACTTCTTCTTCCCATTCTGCCTCATCCATATCCTCAATCAAATGACCAATCTCTTTTCCTTTTGCAAAAAAGTCATGCGAAATTCCCCAGTCACGCCCCCATCGCGTAGTATCCCCGAATGAAGATGTAGAATCCTTTGCCTTCCTCTTTTTTCCTCTTACTTTTTTTACGAGATGTTTCCTTTTTCACAGTTCTTTCTTTTTCAACAGCTTCACCAGATTGTGGCATTTTAGGACCAGGGGAGTTAAGGTGTGATGCATGGCAAGATTGCCCGGCAGTTGGTGAGGTGATTTTTCCAAAATGAGGATGGCTTGTGCCAGATTAACCAGATAATCATTTAGCGCTTTTCTTTGCAATGACCTCAATTTGCTTCAATCTATGCGACATTGTGCTATCTGCAAAAGAAAATACATAATTCGATTTAGAGCAAATAAAAGAATAGAAACACATAAGCTACAATCAGTAAAGTGGGCAATAGCGCAAAGCATTTACCAAGAGAAACTCTGACATCCTCTTCTATGTACTCCTTCAAAATGGTATAAGCACTCAGCAAGCCATTATCTGATGCCCTATGCGCAATATCACATAAGGCAGTGCCAGTCTCTCTCATAGTCATGAAGGTCGTTAAAGGTATAATTAAGCTTATATTCATCAGGCTGGTATCTGGTCCAATATAGGGGGAACAAAGGAGAATTGTGATCTTCACTCAAATAGAATGGATGTTGGTCCCTTGCAGGATAAATTTTGAACATACACAGGAAGGATTCAGGCCACATGAATAAGTTATAGGTTGTACAAACCATCTCGTATACCTGAATGAATCCCCATGCGTTTGGATGTAATTGAGATGGAACTACCTGAATGTGTTGTAGTAATTTCACAACAAAAGGAGAAAAAGGAAGGCAAATTCCAAGAGAGAGGAAATAGAAGTTGTACATCATAAGGAAATATTTAGACTGATCATCTGCGCGCGCTGAGCAAACACGCTCATCTTTAGGGACAACGGACAATTCCCGTCTATCATTTGAAGCCTTGTCCTTGGTCAGATGGATAGCATCACTAAGTTGCTCCAAGTTCTTAATAAAGCTATAATATGATATTATCTTTTTCACATCATCTGAAACCCAACCCAAACTGGATGCATCTCGTAAACTAGAAGTACTTGCACTGGCAACATTGCGCATGGCCATAACATCCCTGATTTCCAAAGAAATGAAATCTGCGTCAAATGAAGAAGAATCTGAGGAATCTGAAAAGGAAGAGCTAAAAAAAGAACTCTTGGGTAGTGTTTGGTTGGGGAGAAGTTAAAATTTTGTTGGCTAAGTGCATGTGGGAATTTGATTAAACCACGTTTGGTTGAAGATTTTTGGTAAATTTGCCCATCAATGCAGTTTGCCTTGCAATTCAGGAAGAAGTGTAAAAATCAGATTTTGGCACTGTTGAAGAAGCTGTCTCAACAGGTGGAATTGGGTTAAAAAATTGGATAAGTGAAAAAGGGGATAAAGGCATGACACGTATACCCCTCCTTCTTAACCACACGCGTGAGCAAGTGATATCCAAACCAAATATCATTTTGACAAACACATGAGCAAGTGACACATTTCGTCTTTTGCATTATTTTTCCCATCATAATTTTATTTTCAACCAAACACACATCAGGATATTTAACCCAATTTTCCTAGTAATATTTTGCGCTACCAAACAACTTTTTTTACACTTTCCTACCAAACTAACTTTCCAACGTCTTTCCTAGTAAAGACAACTACCCACTTTAAAAAAATTTCTCCCCAACCAAACACTACCTTGGGTATTTTGTCAAAATTATTTCTCTTAAAAGGATACCTCGCAGGGTATACAATGTTAAGGGGAATGAGACTAGGACTGTGATTTGAAGCAGAATCATTGCGCCGAGAAGGTACGAGATCATGCGCAATGGGTGAGTTGGTTTTGGAGTTGGTTCGCGGGGAGTAGACTTAGCGCTAGGGCTGGAGTCACTTGAAATGAAGATAGGGTGCCTAGGGTTACTTGGCACAGGAAACCTCAAAAGAGAAGGAATTGAGCTTTGTTGTGATGAGGT